CGTGCGCCACCACCGCTGACAAATTTAAGTTTTTGTTTCTCTCTCTCTCTCTCTCTTTCTCTCTCTCTCTCTCTCTCTCACACACACACACACACGGTAGTCCCTGATTGGGTTTGTAGGTTTCCACCCATTCTGAGTGTGTGAAATATTTTTATTCTACATGAATAGTTCATTAATTCTTGGTCTCCAGGACTCTTGGCTTCATGCACTAAGAACAGATTGATTTTTTTTTTAACTAGGGTTGGGGAACAGAGACTTCTTCATTTTTTGCCTTCCTTCACACTTTTAGGTGAAGCTGGTAGTATTTCCATCCTCTAAAATTTTTTTCATACAAGTATATATTGTATGTTGAATATATTCCCCCATATTCCTTTACTCTTTTCTCTCTCCTCTCATAGTTTTCTTAAAAGTATAACTTTCTTTGGAATGTGGGTTTCATATGAATCTTAGTGGAATTACCTCTATATTACTAAAGCCATTATATATAAAACTGATTTTGAGACAGACTTTTCTGTACTCTTACCGAGGTTTTTTTTTTCTTTTGAGACAGGTGTCTCTATGTAGTTAGTCCTAGCTGTCCTGGAACTTGCTATATAGTCTAAGGCTGGCCTTGAATTCAGAGATTCTCCTGCCTCTACCTTCCAAGTCTTGGCATTAAAGGCATGTGTATTTATGCCTGGCAATACCTTGCTTTTAAAGAAATGCATTAGTTAAGTGGAATTTTAAAGTGTAATGACAGTTTTGAGGGTGATAGCACATACCTATAATTCTAGCACATGGAATACAAATATAGAAGGATCATTGTGAGTTCAAGTTTGAAATCAGTCTGGGCTGCCATAGTAAAGCCCTGTATAAAGCAAATAGCAAACAAAACATAATGATATATAAATGGAGAAGTAAAAGTACTGTTTTTCAAAGTGATGTGAAAGCCAGGCAGTGGTGGTGCATGCCTTTAATCCCAGCACTTGGGAGGCAGAGGCAGGCAGATATCTGTGAGTTTGAGGCCAGCCTGATCTATAAGAGCTAGTTCCAGGACAGGCTCAATAGCTGCAGTGAAACACTGTCTCAAAAAAAAAATACTATACTCAAAGCGATGTGTACAGAAATAAAAACAATCAATAGGAAATCTTTTTAGCAAAGCTTAAAAAAACAGTACAGACTTACATGTTTTCTTTAGCTCTGTATCTATTCAGTTGGGATGGAAAAAAGATTAGATAGTCCCAATGAAGAAACTTTTTTAGATGTATCATACCATACAATAGAATAAATTCTTAGAGAAGAAATGAAGACTAGCAGTGTGTTCACATGCTGGTATCATATGTTTTTACATTTGTAAAATTAAATTTAGTTAGTATGCAAAGACATTCATTTGTAATACCATTGGTAACTTCAGTAACTCTGAATTACTTTCTAGCTATAGTCCATGTTCCTTGATATGTCAAACAGTCCATGACCAGGTCCCCACTGATGCCTACCTTTGAGCCTCCTAGAAATGTGTCTGGGCTGGGATCTCAGCCTTTCCCTGACTCACTAGTTTTTCCTTTTCCTCCAGTCACTACCACTCCTGGATGCCTAGCATAAAAAGAACTGTGCCTGGTATTTGCCAAGCACTTGTAACGTGTTTCTTGAACTGAGCTGAGAAAGTGACACTTCAGTGAGAATGATTTCATTATTTATTATTGTAGGGGATTTTTTTTTTTTTTTTGGTTTTTCGAGACAGGGTTTCTCTGTGGCTTTGGAGCCTGTCCTGGAACTAGCTCTGTAGACCAGGCTGGTCTCGAACTCACAGAGATCCGCCTGCCTCTGCCTCCCGAGTGCTGGGCTTAAAGGTGTGCGCCACCATCGCCCGGCTTGTAGGGGAAAATTAAAAGGCATGATCTAGCCTTTTTCTCTTTTAGAAATGAAGACAAAACAGTAAGTATCAAGGGAAGGTACGATATAGTTTCATTTCTAAATGTCAGGTCACTAGAAAACCAGAGAATGGTTCTGTACATGGCCTGTATTGCTTGATGTAGTGTGTGTGGATCTGACATGAGGGAACAACCTCATTTCTAGGTACTGTAACTATTATGCATACTTTAGATTTGGGGAGATAAAACTAGAGGGATTTATTTGAAATAACTAAGCCCTACTTTTCCAGAGTGCCTACAAATAAAAAAATTATTTATGGGTCTCAAAGACAGAATTACATGTGAAGTTTCTCTGAAAACCAGAAAGGATTAAAAAAATAGGAATATATGGTACTTTAAAAGTAATAGAGCTGGGTGGTGGTGGCACAACCTTCAATCCAGCACTCAGGTGGCAGAGACAGGCATACCTCTGTGAATTTGAGGCTAGCCTGGTCTTCAGAGCTAGTTCTAGGACAGCTAGGGTTGTTACACAGATAAACCCTGCCTTGAAAAACTATAAATAAATAAATAAATAAATAGTAATAGAATCAGGGCCACTGAGATGGCTCAGTGGGTAAAGGTGATTGCTATAGAAGCCTAGTGTGCTGGATTTGACCCCTAGAACTCATGTTCTGGGGTGGAAGGAGAGAAACATGCACACAAACATTATGGTGTGCACACACGCAAACACATACAACAACAAAATTGTTGTTGATATTGTTAGGGAGCGCTTCCTCGATAACGAGTTGTGTTAGAGCAATTGAGTATTAAGTGAAGAGTTGTTGCATTAAGCTGCCAATGTATTCCTCCTCCCCACCTAGGACTGCTGTTTTAGCATAGCAGGGTCAAACCCCAAAGATCTGTACTTGCTCTCATCTCATCCTTTCAAGAGCTTGTCTATAAGTCTGCATAGTGAACTGGGGACAACAGGCATTAAAATCCTGAGGGGTTAGAGAAGTTTCTCAGGAAGAAGTGGGTAGTGAGCCTCACAGAGCAGATATTGCTGGAGCTAGGCCTTACATGGTAGGATGGTATTAGGGATGTTCCAGATCATGTGAAGGCAGGAATGTCTGTTCACATAATGGTGAGATTTGTCAGTGTACTGCTATAGAGCAAGGACTCACCAGGACAGTGTGCCTGTTCCATTAGAATTCACTAAAGACTCACATTAGGAGGACTCAAAAGGTTAATGAGCTAACAAGCTTTTACTTTATTTGAGACTGGGAATCTTTTTTTTTTTTTTTTTTTTTTTTTTTTTTTTAAAGATTTATTTATTTATTAAGCATACAATGTACTGCTGGCAAGGAAGGCACCAGGTGAGCCACCATGTGGTTGCTGGGAATTGAACTCGGGACCTCTGGAAGAGCAACCAGTGCTCTTAACCTCTGAGCCATCTCACCAGCTCCCAAGACTGGGAATCTTTAATTCCCTTGACTCTTCAGCCTGCTGTAACAGGAACTTTCTGTTCATTCCATCATCACTCCACTAAAGCTGTGATTGTGAATGTTACCAGCACCCTTCAGTTGCTAAAGGCTTTTCAGCCATCATTTTATATAGTTCAGAAATGACGGCTTTCATCCTGTTTAATGCCTTTTCTTTCACTGTTCTCATCTGTGGTTTCTCTGGTTCTGCCTCTCTCTGCAATTGTCTGTCAATCTGCTCAACAGACTTACTTCAGCACTGCCCACCTTAAAGACTTTTGGAGCTCTGAATACCAGTGTTATCAGTTCTTTCTCATTATTCTGCTTGCTCTCCGGAAAACCTTACATATGTCCTAGGTATCCACCCAGATGACTTTTATATCTTAAGTTCCCAGTCTGTATATTATCTGTCTATTAAAAGTGGTCTCCATTTAGACATCTTCCCAGCATCTCAAATTGCATATGTCTAAAAAAATGAATCTGGGTTAATGAAATGTCTCATCAGGTAATTCACTGCTCAGCCTAATAGCACATGCACACTAAATATAATTTTAGAAAATTAAGGCAAAAAAAAATTAAGGCAGTCTGTCTTTACTCTAACCTATTACCCCTCTTAGACTTTTCTCTCTTTGTGGAAATATTATTAGCCACCTCGTTACTTAAACGAGAGACCTGTGAGGAGTCTTTTTCTTCTTTGTGCATCATTGAAAATGAACTGTGAGTCAGTTCAGTTCTACCATATAGTTTCTCATATGTCTCTGTGTTTATTTGTTGTCAAGTTACTTAGTCATCATCTCATATATGGGCCATGTGATCTTGCTGCTAACATTGGCTGTTCCCATTTACCACAGTTCTGCTCAGCAAATCTATTCATGTCATCCTGATCCCCTCCTCAAAGATTGTTGTGAGAAGGAATAACTCCTGGATTAACTGTTCATTAAATACTCAACCACATGTCCCAGGTATCCCAGGAGTAGCTGTCTCGTTGCAATCCTACTTCAACATTTCAGATGATTATTTTTTTTTCTGAATACTATTTCCATACTAGGGTTCTGTTTCTTACTGGGAAACTTACTGATACTACATGCCTTCTGTTGTTCTGTTTGTGTGTATGTATTTTATGGATCAATTAAAGGGAACAACATGGACTGTCTACTTCAGAAAGACTAATATAATAGAATACTTGAATAGAGTGTTCAGTCAGTATACTTAATTATCTTCACTGATAAATTTTTTATATGTGTTATTATTGTTGCTTTCTCTTTTTAAAATTGTCTTCTAAGTTTTACATTTAACTACACGAAGACTTACTTTTTTCCTAGTAACCTTGTTAGTTTACTAACTTAAAGGCCTTAGTTTTTTATTTTTACTTAACAAGTCTGTTTTTTCATAGGTGATGAATTCTTGCAATGTGCATGATAGCAGTAATAGCTCTTCGTGGGAATGTTAGCAAGGATGTGCTTAATACCATCACACAATCTTACATTCTTCTGTGGTTGGAAATCTTATAAATTCAAAAGTATCCACAGTTTGACTTGGACTTAAAATAGGATGATTTGATCTTCAGTTTTTCAAATGTAATTGTTTTTAAGGATAAAAATTGTTTTTGGTTCGGTTGAATACAAGATAAATAGGAGTGAATGTGTCTTGGGCCCTTAGAACATGAAAGACTCTTTTGCTTCTGACCCAGGCCCTGACATGTAGAGAAGAACTCCTGACACTTCTTCTGTCACTCCTTCCCTTGGTGTGGAAGATACCTGTCCAGGAACAGCAAGCAACAGGTATGTCCCTCTTCACAGATTGCTTGCATTGTCATATCCCTTTGGGAAAAGAAGTTTATTTGCAAAGCTACCTCTTCCTGATTGGTTAATGCAGTTTCAGAGTAGTAGATATTGTGGTGATTTATTATATACCTAGTATGAAAAATTCATTAGGAAAGCACAATTTTTCTTCTTCCAGTAATATAAAAGTCCATGGTGCTTCTGAGAGACGTCCATAAATGTCAATTACAAATACCCGAAGAAGCAGAATACTTACCTAATGGAGTTGCTAGATATGCCATAGCGTTAGGAAAATGGGTGGTGAAGAGTTTGAAGAAAGGAATTAAAGCCCATTGCTTAAGGACGGCTATCACCAGTACTCTAAAAGTGACTTCTGCAATATTTGCTTTAGTTCAGTTTTTCTAATTTTGCTTTTGAGGGATAAATTGGAAGTCATAGTTTGTTTCTAGGCTAAGTAGAATTATGACATGAGATCAATACATTTTAATTTCTTATTTTGAAAAATATGCATTTATAAGTACGTTAAATTTCAGTGGAAGGATAAAGTGGTTTTCCCCTGGATCATTTCTGGAATACTTTATGAATCTCCTGGGTTAAAAATAGTCTTCCGTATTATATTTTAATGCTGTGTTTATATTTTAATACATATTTGACATAGAACTCTTTTAAGGAAAATATTTAAAGACTTCTAATATTATTTTCCTGATTATTTATTGATTCATTAACTACTCTTTTTTTGAGTTTGCAGAATTAGAAGTTTGTTAACCACTTAAGAGTTGATTACTGCCATTTTAGGGAAGTTGCCTTCATTGATGGCATTTTATATTTCTGTGCAATTGGTCTCTTTTAACATTTGTTCTCATTTGCTTTATTTTCCTTCTCCTAGGTAAAGTGCAAAATTCTACTAATGGGTTTTTATTTAGTCCTCCTAAATTACAACTCTGTTTTCTGTGCATTTTAGCACATATTGCTACAAAGAGAAAGATTCATTTAATTAGATCCTTTCCCTAAGAAATGGCCATTGAATGCTGCCCCAAGCTCTGGGGACTTAGGATGGACTGCTGATCTCTCTACATTTGGCTAGTTCAGAGAACAAGGCCCTAGAGAAATACTTTGCTTGAACAACTCTTTTAACCATAGTCATGATGAATACTTGATATATGCTATATGATTTTTGAGTTCATTTGGGTGAATATTGAAGTTCTGAGAAGCCACAGACTAACACTATGTCTTAATTACAGCATCACTAAAGGTTTGTAAGTGGTGAGCACAGCAGCTGGATAGTTCAAGCTCATATTTAGAAATTAGAATGCAGTAGGTTCAACTCATGTCCAATTTCCTAATTTTTCTCTTTGCCGTCCTCAAAATCAAGTTGTATCTCTTGAGCTATTACCACCTGGTATAGAGAGTAGGAAGGATAAGTGTGGGCGGAAGTGACCCAGAGATGTAACTAGGGAAAGCAGACTTGCAGGAAAATTATACCAGGCCAGACTCATAATGTGGGTTGTAAGAGTCATTGCCCATACATGTTGAGCTTAACGGGTACTGGCATATTCTTTTTTTTCATACACTTTTATTCCCCAATACAAAAGGGGGGAAAGAAGGCAAAAGACTGCTTTAACATGACACAAAAGACAATCAGAACAGTTACTTCAATACTTGAGACATCAAGCCATTATTTCCTGAGTAAAACATTTGATGTCTTGGGCAGGATATACAGTGAACATTCCCTAGACCAAGTATCCTGTAGGCAGTCACTCCCTATGCCAAACTTCTTATTTTAAATGAACAAGCAGGAGTATGCTTAAATTCTCTGATCTTTGGTCAGGGTGGAGTGAATCACTTCTATGGGCCATCTTAATGTCCAAAACAAAAGTAACTACTCCCTTGGTCAGGCTTTGTAGTCACACCTGTTGGGTACTGACATATTCTAAGTGTATTTCTTGATTTTATTAGATTTTAACTTGCCGTTGTCATCTGATATAATCCTGACCAAAGAAAAGAACTCAAGTTTGCAAAAATCAACTCAGGGAAAATTATATTTAGAAGGAAGTGCTCCTCCTGGTTCAATCTCTGCAAAAGTAAACCTTTTTCAAAAAAGCAGATGACAGCGTAAAAGTACCCACCGCTACTCTGTAAGAGATGCAAGAAAGACACAGCTCTCCACCTCTGACTCTGAAGGCAACTCAGATGAGAAAAGTACAGTTGTGAGTAAGCACAGGAGGTCCCATGTGCTACCCCGGATCCTGACGCAGTCTCCTAAGGAAGACCACCTCCTCGCCAAACTTGTCCCCTCTGCAACCAAAGAACAGATCCTTTCTGACACCATGACTTTGGAAAACTCCAGAGAAATCATCCCGAGACAGGATTCAAATGGCGACATATTAATTGAGCCAGTTGCCTTGTCTATTCTCAGTAACATGAATAACTCTCCCTTTGACTTATGTCATGTTCTGTTATCGCTATTGGAGAAAGTCTGTAAGTTTGACATTGCTTTGAATCATAATTCTTCTCTAGCAGCCAGTGTAGTACCCACGCTGACTGAGTTTCTAGCAGGCTTTGGGGACTGCTGTAACCAGAGTGACACTTTGGAGAGACAAGTGGTTTCTACAGGTTGGACTGAAGAGCCAGTGGCTTTGGTTCAACGGATGCTCTTTCGAACTGTGGTGCATCTTATGTCAGTAGATGTTAGCACAGCAGAGGCAATGCCAGAAAGTCTTAGAAAAAAACTTGACTGAATTGCTTAGGGCAGCTTTAAAAATTAGAGCTTGCTTGGAAAAGCAGCCTGACCCTTTCTCACCAAGACAAAAGAAAACACTACAGGAGGTCCAGGAGGGCTTTATATTTTCCAAGTATCGTCATAGAGCCCTTCTTCTCCCCGAGCTTCTGGAAGGAGTTCTACAGCTCCTTATCTCTTGTCTTCAGAGTGCAGCTTCAAATCCCTTTTACTTCAGTCAAGCCATGGATTTAGTTCAAGAATTTATTCAGCACCAAGGATTTAATCTGTTTGAAACAGCAGTTCTTCAGATGGAATGGCTGCTTTCAAGGGACGGTGTTCCCTCAGGGGCTGCCGAACATTTGAAAACCTTGATCAACAGTGTAATGAAAATAATAAGTACTGTCAAAAAGGTAAAATCAGAGCAACTTCATCATTCCATGTGCACGAGGAAACGGCACCGGCGCTGTGAGTATTCCCATTTCATGCAGCACCACCGTGATCTCTCAGGTCTTCTCGTTTCAGCTTTTAAAAACCAGCTTTCTAAAAGCCCCTTCGAAGAGACTGCAGAGGGAGATGTGCAGTATCCCGAGCGGTGCTGCTGCATTGCAGTGTACGCTCACCAGTGCTTACGCTTGCTGCAGCAGGTTTCCCTGAGCACCACCTGTGTCCAGATCCTATCAGGTGTACACAGTGTCGGAATCTGTTGTTGTATGGATCCTAAGTCTGTGATTATCCCTTTACTCCATGCTTTTAAGTTGCCAGCACTGAAGAATTTTCAGCAACACATACTGAATGTCCTTAACAAACTTCTTCTGGATCAGTTAGGAGGAGCAGAGATTTCACAGAAAATTAAAAAAGCAGCTTGTAACATCTGTACTGTGGATTCTGACCAACTGGCTAAGTTAGAAGAGACACTGCAAGGCACCTTGTGTGGTGCTGGCCCTTCCTCTGGCTTGCCCAGTCCTTCGTACAGATTTCAAGGGATCCTGCCCAGCAGTGGGTCTGAAGACTTATTGTGGAAATGGGATGCATTGGAAGCTTATCAGAACTTTGTCTTTCAAGAAGACAGATTGCATAACATACAGATTGCAAATCACATTTGCAATTTGATCCAGAAAGGCAATGTAGTTCAGTGGAAATTGTATAATTATATTTTTAATCCTGTGCTCCAAAGAGGAGTTGAATTAGTACACCATTACCAACAACTAAGCATTACTTCTGTTCAGACTCATATGTGTAGCCAACTGAAACAGTGTTTGTCTCAGGAAGTGCTTCAGATCTATCTAAAAACTCTGCCTATTCTACTTAAATCCAGGTTTGTGCATTTTTACAGTTGGATGAATGCTTTGAATATGAGATAAAGTCTGTGTGTGTTTAAATTTCTAACCTTGATGTCTCCAGGTCCTCAACCACAGTATAATCATAGTTACTATTTTGCTTTCAAGGATTTAGTTTGTCCACAAAGAAAGTACTCTTCCCCTGTCATGTTTTAAACATTTTAAAATTTACTTTTCTGGGGATAGTTAAGGAAGAGAGACTAGAGATGTTGATATTTGGCTTCTCAATGGAAAAAAAAGGTAAAAGTTTTTAATATATTTCTGAGGAAAGAAGTGTGTGGAATGAAGATGTCAGAACAAAGTCAGTTAAGATTAATTTTTTTGTTTTACTATGTAGATAGAATATTATAAACCATTAAGATGTTTATAAAGATCATGTTAGAACAAGACAATGCTTATTTTATGAGTAAAATATAAAATAATAATTTTAATGTATTTACAACAGTGTATAATTTATACATACGTGAAATATTTAGTTCTCGAGTCAGTGGCATTGAGGAGATCATTTCTTAAATATCATAGTTGCGTTTATTACTCAAAGTTGAAAACACAGATAGGCAAAAAGAAAGTTTAAGTTGTCTTCTATCAGTGAAACTTTCAAATTCATGAGATTGTTAAGTATGGGATACTTTATAATGACTGTGTAAGTAAAGCTTAATGGACAGATTGGCCATTTAAATTAATGCATATGTAATATGGCTACCTTAAAACTGACATGGAGCTGGGCGGTGGTGTACGCCTTTAATCCCAGCACTCGGGAGGCAGAGGCAGGCAGATCTTTGTGAGTTCGAGGACAACCTGGTCTACAAGAACTAGTTCTAGGACAGGCTCCAAAGCTACAGAGAAACCCTGTCTCAAAAAAACAAAACAAAACAAAAAAAAACCTGACATGGATTCTACCAAGCTAAGCTATATTCATCTTTTATATCTGTGCTGTTGACTTTGATCAACTCAACAAATTAGAAGAGAACTATAAGGAAACTCACATGGTACTAAACCTTCAAGTTGAGAGAATATCTTCCCAAGATTTTCAGCTCTGTAGTTTGGTTCTTTCCTTTCCTAGAGTGTAGTATAAAACAGATGGAAAGTCTGAGCAGAGTGTTAGACAGACAACCAAGTGAGCAAGTGAACAAATGTATGCCTGCTCTCCTGTACCCACATCAGGGGTGGTATGATATTTAGAATTTCTATGAAATTTACTATTGAAATTGAAGAAAAAAATTCTCTCTTGAGTTACTTATTTTAATGTGTTATATATATATATAAACATTTCTTTTTAAATATAGCTAGAGCTATATATAAACATGTAAGTGCAATTAGAAAATAACTTGAGATCTTAATCAGTATCTTAGAACTGTTCAGTGAGTCAGAGTAGGCAGTATAGAGCAGAGTGGTCAGTATAGAGCACACATAGAGAACTGTTCAGACAGTGAGTCAGAGTAGGCAGTGGTCAGTATAGAGCACACATAGCAGTGTCATGTTTACATAGCATATGTGCCTATTTGCAAATGTTTCACCATGTTATATAAAATATTTTATTTTTCCTATCTCTTACAGGGTAATAAGAGATTTGTTTTTAAGTTGTAATGGAGTAAACCAAATAATTGAATTAAATTACTTAGATGGGATTCGAAGTCATTCCCTCAAAGCATTTGAAACTCTGATTATCAGCCTAGGGGAACAACAGAAAGATGCTTCAGTTCCAGGTGCCAATGGGTTAGACATTGAGCAGGAGTTACCCTCCTTAAGTGTGAGTCCTTCTCTCTGTAAGCAGCAAGCTTCTTCAGATTCTCCTCGGAGTCTCAGTAAGTTTTATGCCAGTCTCAGAGAAGCTTATCCAAAGAAACAGAAGACTGTTCAGCAGGATGTTCACATAAACACCATAAACCTCTTTCTCTGTGTGGCTTTTTTATGTGTCAGTAAAGAAGCAGATTCTGATAGGGACTCTGTCAGTGAGTCGGAAGATACTTCTGGCTATGACAGTACTGCCAGTGAACCATTAAGTCACATGCTACCGTGTCTGTCTCTTGAGAACGTCATCTTACCTTCCCCTGAATATTTGCACCAAGCAGCAGACATTTGGTCTATGTGCCGTTGGATCTACATGTTGAGTTCAGTCTTCCAGAAACAATTTCACAGACTTGGTGGTTTCCGAGTGTGCCATCAATTAATATTTATGATAATCCAAAAACTATTCACAATTCGTGATGAGGAACAAGGAAAAAGGCAGGGAGAAATGAGTGTAAACGAAAACCAAGAGTTAATCAGAATGTCTCAACCTGAAATGACATCGAAGGAAGGAGATGTGTCATCTTCAGCAGCACCAGAACTGGGACATCTGAAAAAGAGTGCTGACAGCTTGAATGACTTAGAGTCACACAGCACATGTTTCCCACAAATGTAGAGCAGACTTTGGTTACTGAAGCTGTTCCTGGGGAAGCAAAGGCATTTATGAATCAAGACAATGAGACCTCTCTCCAGAGCATACGACTTTTGGAGTCCCTCCTGGCCATTTGTCTTCATAGCTCCAGAGCCAGTCAACAGAAGATGGATTTGGAGCTACCTCCTCAGGTGATGCTTTATCCTCAGTCCAGCTTATGTAACATATATGTGTAGTGTATTATTATATACATGTCATAACAATATTGACAACTTATTTTGCTACATATTTAAATTTTATTTTCTTGTATTAATTATGCATAAATCTGAAACTCATTATAACAGTTTTATGTATACAGTGTATTTATATCAATTTACCCTTCCTGTTCTCTTTTTTTCTCCTCCCACTTTCACTCACCCTCTTCCTCTACCCAGCTGGGTTCTCTCTCTCTCTCTCTCTCTCTGTGTGTGTGTGTGTGTGTGTCAGTGAGTGTGTGTGTATAAGTAACCCATTACATTTTATTATTGTTTTTTCTAAGAATCTGGATGAAGAGTTATTTACCAAAGCAAGAGTTCCTTGCCAGTGGGTTATACCACAGCGAAAAGTATCTTCCCCTTCCCCAGTAACCATTAATTCGTTCTAAATACTGAGCGGGCTGGGACCTCAGAAACTCTTCTCCCTATTAAATCCACAGGGAAGGAAGGGGCCTCATGGCCCTCCCCCTCCCATTTGCCACTTACTTTGTTTTTACAAAGTTCTTTTGTGTGTAGCAGGATACAAAGTATGGAGGGATACAATGGCTCACATAATCCAGCTCTAAAGAAGCTTACTGTTTAGTTTTCTGCAAAAAGCCCCTTGGGATAGTTTGTGAATTAATTCTTAAATGAATATTTATGGATGTTGTGTTTTAGAGTTTCAAAGTTCACAATCTTTGTGATACTGTTAGGTACTCTGCTTATATTCCCTGACCTTTGTTTATGGCTCTGGTATGGTCATCATCTGGTCTGTACCTACTTGTTTTACGTGTTAGACTTAGAATTCCATAAAAGAAAAGCAAGCTTTTTTTTTTGTTTTTGTTTTTTTTTCCACTGTTACAGAGATCTAGGCAAACAGTAACAGCTTCATTCAAAGGGCAGAACTGAAAGCATAAGAAAAACTTAATTAGAACTGCTTCTTAGACTCTTAGAGGATCTCTAAGAATAAGGAATTAGTAAACTCTAGTGATAATTAAGTCTGAAATTTCATTTTTTTTGTTCATTTTACATGCCAACTACAGTTTCCCCCTTCCTCCCAACTCTGAAGTTTCCAAGAATGGTTTTGTAAAAATTTTAAGACTTATTTTTTTTTCTTATGTGTATGAGTATTTTGCCTGTATGTATGTCTGCGCACTATAGATAGGTGCTTCTTGCCTGAGGATGCCAGAAGAGAGGACATTGAATTCCCTTGAACTGGAGTTACAGGCTGTTGTGAGTCACCATATGGGTGCTGGGATCCACCATATGGATCCTAGGTCCTCTGTAAGGACTCCTAACCATTGAGCTATCTCTCTAGCTTCCAAAGAACAAATTTTTTTATGATTCAAATAATTTAAAGTACATTGAAATTTAAAACCCAATATATTTATAGATAAAAATTTAACAGTTTTTAAATATTAAGTAGGATATTTGGATAAGCACTCAAATTTTATAGTCAATTTACCTTCATATCAATTACAAATAAATTTTTCTTCTGCTTATTGTAATCTATTTTGTCACTGTTTTTTTTTAAGCATGTTATTGATACTCTTAGTCTCTCATTTTATCTTAGAGCTTGTCTGTGGAAAATATATTGTGTGAAATGAGGGAACACCTTTCCCAGTCAAAGGTGACGGAAACAGAATTAGCAAAACCTTTATTTGATACCCTGCTTCGAGTGGCCCTAGGGAATCATGCAGCAGATTTGGATCCCGGTGATACTGTGACTGACAAGGTATGAATCCATGTGTTATGTTTTTAATATGCCCAGGAAACTGGAGCATGTGGCGTGGGGCCAGATGTGATTTAGATCACAGCCACATGGATTTGATCAGGTGAGTTCCTTGGTTCCTTCTCCATCATTTGGAATAGATAGTATTTCATTATTGTCTTGCCTCAAAGAAAAGTAGGACATCAATACAGTATGCTTCAGTTAATCTGATCTGGAAATTTTTTGGTAATTGTTCCCAATAAGGCAAAAATGCAATAAGGTTAGATAATCTTACATATAATTGATAATCATTTTTCCCCTCAGAGATTTTACTTTGGGAAATTTCAAATCTAGGCAGTAGCAGTACAGAAGCACCCTTCCCCTGTGCCAGCCACTTCCACACTGACGCCTCAGCATCAGCATGTTTTCTCACTGTCTCCCGCCCATGGCTTTTTCTTTCTTGAAATGTTTTAAAGAAAAGCCTGGTTTGCAGCAGCGGATAATCTATTAAATGATGATGATTCAGGAATAGTGATATTTAACTCTTTTACCTGGTCCTGTGTAGTACAACTAATATTTCCAGAATGCTCTTCTGACTTTAATTTTAAATTACTCAACATAAAAATCAACAATACTCATCTAGAAGACAGCATTAGGAGATTTTGAGTTTTGTTAACATTTTTCAAAAGTAACTTAAATTTTTCCTGAAACTTTATGATGTGCATTTTAACTCATTTCTCTTCCCTGTTATGCTTCTTTTACTTTGGTTAACTATTGTTAGCTTTCATCTTTATATAGCTTCATTTTTAACCTTTGATCTAGTAATATATTTGGTATTTTATTATATTTGCCTTAATATTCTGTTATTCTTTTCCATAATTTTAAAGCTTATTGACTTTAAAAATTGACCTTAAAGCTTAGAACTTCAATTTGTTGTTGAATCAAATGGCAGATTATAACCAATTGAAACATTTACTTTATGTTACTGTTTATTGTTGTTGCAATGATAAAGTACCCTGAGCTTTTATAAACTCAAGTAGATCCTAAGGTGAAGGTATCAGTAACGTTTTTATAAGGAAAAAAATGAAAATGTCTTGTCACAGGTAGTAGACAGGAAATTGATGCTGGAACTCTTGATTTCTGAGATGCTTCCATGTAGACGGTTGCACTGTGAAATCCTTATTTTCTTTTTAAGATTGTTATATCTTTACCTGTTATCTAGTTTATGAAGCATTTAATTAAAAAACTTTGGGAAATTGTTTCTATTTGCAGTGTGTGAAAATAATATGCTTATTATCAGGAATAAGTCTGTACAATAAAACACTGCCTCACTGTGGTTTTCATCATTCTCTATTGTGTGGCCAATGGTTTTGCCTGCTACAGCCCTTTGATCTGAGGTAGCTGAGAGAGTTTGGGAAATATTGCAGAGGAAATTTCATTTTTTTCTGTGACTTCTAATTACTAAGATTTTTTTCTCTTAAATAAAATATTGGGATTATTCTTAAAGTGACTTTTGAGTGATAAGTATCCTGCTACTGAAAAATGAGTCAGTGTCACAACTCTTGCCGTTGACTCATATTGGCCTTATAGAGTCATCAGTCTGAGGAAGAATTGTTGTCCCAGCCTGGAGATTTCTCAGAAGAAATTGAGGATTCTCAGTGCTGTAATCTGAAACTTCTGGGTGAGGAAGAAGGTTATGAAGCAGACAGTGAAAGTAATCCTGAGGACGGTGACGCCCACGATGATGGTAAAATGTCTCTGAGCTTGTGATTAGATTGCCGTCAGATTGTAAGTTAGCAAAATGGTTCATTGTTCCCCTACCCAGTGGCCTTACAATTTCAAAAAGGCATTGTATTGCCATTTTATTTGATCATCACATCACATCTGCCATTTGAATATGTAATTTCAGCAGTGGGATCAAAACTATGAAGATAATTTCAGTGAAAGAGCCCTTACTTAGCAAGCCTAAACCCACCATTACCACAGAAAGAGGGACAGATAAAATAGACTACACTGTGAATTAGATATTTGGGGGTCAGAAAGTTTGGGATTATTTAAACAGAAATTATTTAAATATAATTAAACATAAAATTATTTAATTTTTTAAAATTTAAGTAAAAGAACTTTTCTCTGCTCATGCAGCAGGTAAGAGATGTACTAAGTCGAATCAGTATTTATCACACTCATGCTCCAGTTTTCCCAGTTGCATCAAAAGAAGGTATTAAATCTATATCACATGCTTACGAAAATTTCTGTTGAAAATATTTGTAGTTTCATTGAAGATCAAAATTACTTTCAAAATTAAGCTATTCACCAGACTTGATTGTTCAAGATACAAATCTTAATTAACATTAAGGTTGCAGGAAAAAGCTTTGTGAGCATTTTATTAAAAGAAGCACAGTTTTCATGAAATGTTCTTAGTGATGAGTTATGGTTGAAATATTCAGTGTTTGGGGAATAAAAACATTCTTTTTTTTTTCCTTTTTCAGGAGTAGAATTAAAAACTGAGGAAGAAGGTTTCAGTGCATCGACTGTTCCGAACAACTTACTTGAAAACCTCACTCACGGAGAGATAATATACCCCGAGATTTGCATGCTGGAGTTAAATTTGCTCTCTGCTAGCAAAGCTAAACTTGATGTGCTTACTCATGTGTTTGAGAACTTTCTGAAGATTGCCAGACAGAAGGAAAAGAACATTTCTCTGCTCATGCAGCAGGTGAAACATGGACTGTTAAATCAGTATTTATCACACTCATGCCCCAACTATTCATTTCCATATATATAACCCAACTTGTCTGAAAATTACTTGAGATGATTACTTATCTTTTATTCTACCTTCAGTATGTTTTGACTTTCAAGTGATTTTCTAAAATCACCTTATATTGTATTTCTCTAATAAGTAGCATAAAATCAGTAGCTAAACAGTAATGTATCCTGAGAACAGATCTTAAAGCTTGCATTTAATCCTACAACAGTATTCTTTCCAGTCATTTAAACACATTTTCTCTCTCCCCTTCCCCGCTTACACACACACACCCTTATGAAATAATTTATCATGACGTTGCAGTTGTATTGTGCTTTTATAAAGTTAAACATTTAATTTTTTATGTTTCATTTTTTAATCTTCAGGGAACTGTAAAAATTCTTCTAGGAGGGTTCTTGAATATTTTAATACAAACTAATTCTGAGTTTCAAGGTAAGTTGAACCTGGTGTAAGGAAATAGCTTTTTAATTATTGTGATTTTTGTATGAAGAATTAATGATTATGGCTTCCACTAGCATATTGCTCTTTGGCTTCAAAATTTTTAAATGTATTATTTGTTTCTCACACTCACTCAGTAAAATATAAGTATTTTTATTGAATAGAGGAAAAATGTAGATTACAAGGCCTGAAGTAAGTTGTTTAGTAGCTTCATGGAGATTGTAACCTAGTATAAACACTGTACTTCATTGTCTGATATTCTCTTCTCTACTCAGTACCTTCTCAGACATTTCAGAAATTCATAATGAAAATTAATGTGATTCTGGCCACAGTAAATATAAATTATAGTTGGAGGATTAAGGCTTATATATGTGAAATGTTAATTTGCATTTGTATAAAGCTTCCTTCCTCCAAATTAAATTTACATAGGAATTTAATTTGTCAGGAATACCCAATATTAGTATTGAATCCTCTAGAGGACACCATATCAAAGGCTTTGTGATATCTGTATCTTATAATCAGGAATGTTAATTTTAATCATTTCAGGGTAAGATGGTCTACCAGGTTTCTTTATTGTAATTTGTAAGTATCTTATGGGTAGCAACTTGAAAGTATGTAAATTTCTCTTTTCTCATATTTAAGGCTACAGTTTTTAGCAAATCCAGTTTTTCCTAAGTTGTTACCTAATGTCCTTTTCTTGTTCAAAGAGCTCTTCCAGTGTAGTTTATAATCAGTTGTCATATTTCCTTGCTTTTGTTGCTGTGTTCTTTCTTTGAAGCCTAGGAAAGACTGGTCCATGATCACAAAGATTTATTATCTCTAAAAATTATTTTCTCCTCTCCATATTCTTTGCTCTTTTATTTTTTATTTTTTGCATATGAATTGTAATCTTGGGCTTTAAAGTTGGATCCTACCATGACTCTTATCTCATGTACTTCTCTTCATTTGTATTATATTCTGCGAGTTTTAAAAAATTCTATTTCAACATTTTATCCAGTTTTCAATTTTGTCAGTTGCCCTTTATCTTAGTTCCTTTTCTGTTCCTGTGGCAAAACACCATGACACCATGACCAAAGCAACTTATAGAAGAAAGCATTTAATGGGGGCTTGCAGTTTCAGAGGGTGAATCCATGATCCTCATGGCAGGGGACATGGCAGTAGGCAAGCAGGCATGGCTCTAGAAGAGTAGCTAGGTACTCTTCTACATCTGATCTACAAACAGGAGGCAGGAAGAGGGAAAGCTAACTCTTCTGTCTGCTCATTGCCTTTATGAAACAGGTTACTTAAACAGGATTTCTAGTCTTAAGCTCCAGTCTTTTAAGATACATCTTAGGTTTTGCATCGTATTGTTTTTGTCATGTCTAAAGCAGGGAGAATAATTCATATTTTTTGTTTTGGAGTGAGGAGCGGCTGAGGCATACATGTAAAGATATACTTGAAACACTATAAAATGATCGATAAAAATACTTATTACTTTAAAGAATTTTAATGAATTAGTATACCATTGCTTTTGTTTATGCTAAACTCTTTAGTAGAATAAAGAATATAATTAAAATAAATAGCTTGTGATATTTATATAATTTTGTTATTTTTTATTTCTGTCATTTAATTTTTCAAGTAATATGTGATAGTTATAATCTAAACAATCTGTTGTTTTATTAGTGTTGGTTCCTTTGCCACTAATTGTCTTGCTATTTTCTTAGCAGTATTTATGATTAATAACTAGATTATTTATAATCATTTCACATGAGAGAATAGTTTATTTCTTTCAATGAAAATTGTTTATCTCTTTCTTTAATTAAATGTTACTGTCTTTAATTTTTTTCCTCTTTTTAAAATTTAGCATGCCAGAGAGTATTGGTGGATCTCTTGGTATCTCTGATGAGTTCAAGAACATGTTCAGAAGAGCTAACCCTTCTTTTGAGAATATTTCTGGAAAAATCTCCTTGTACAGTAAATATGCTATAATTTTTACATTTTCACTAATTCTTTAATAGAATGTGTTTTTACTATTTGTAAATCACTAAACTCTTAATATTGTAACTACATTTTAGCCAGTTCCATGTTTTATGTTTGATAGATTCAGTTTTATTATCTATATATATATCTTAACCATTTCACTTTGATTTGGACTAACCAGTAACCTTTAGTCCTCTGTCAGCTCCAACCTCTGTGCTTGGGAAATGCTGTGATTTTAATTACTAAAGAGAATTTAAACATGAATAACAACAATCATCCTGAATTTATTCTTTTTCTAAAGAATCATTATCTTCTTTTTAGTTGAATATTTTCCTTCCCATTACTGTATAGTTCAGTGGCTCTTAGCTAGGAAACTCATTTTTTAATGCAGCCTTGACTGGAAGAATCTGCAGATGAATCTAGAATGTGGAGACTGCCCTCTGTGAAGCAGGGTGAACAGAGCCCTGTCCACTTCACTGCCTGCCTCCTCATCCACTGTAGTCTCAAGGCCACATGGAAGCTCTGTTGGCCACCAGTGTGGGCCATTGAGGGCTGGCTGTATGTTGATGGATTATTCCTAGAGCTTGCCTTGAGCACACTTCCCCTTGTCATGGTCAACATTAGATATTACTTTATGCACGAGTAAGGCATTGCACTAGGCTAATCTTTTATACTTTTTAATTTAGCTGTTTCATTTTTGCTCTTTTAATTAAATATACATTTCAACATTCTACCTCTTACCTTTTTTGTATTCCATTTAAACCAAAAAACCTTAAAACTTTACTTTAGTTCCCCAAAAACAAATGATAGAAATTTTCCTTGGCTGGGGAAAAAAAAGTGAAATAACTTGGATAGTAACTGAGCATTCAGCTTTATGTAGTTGGTCTTTTAGGAATCTGAGAGTGTGTGAGGTTGTATCCCTCACTTAAAAATATTAGAGCTATGGGACTAGAAAGATGTCTCAGCAACTGGAGTGCTTGCTGCTCAGTCATGAGGCCAGAGTTCAGACACTGGTATCCACTTCAGGCAGCTCCAACGGATCTGATCCCATTTTCTGGATTCTTCAGGCACCTGCTCAGACAGGCAGGCATGTTCACATGCGCATGCGTGCACACACATTAATAAATCTTAAAAATAATTTTGAAATACCATAAGAAAGTAATAACCCTGTTTTATAGAAATAATTCCTGATATTGTATTTCATTTATAATACTTAAAAGCTACTCATAAATATTAGATTTGTTCTATAAAATACCAAAATTTAAACCAAATTTATCAAGAGATTATATAATAATTAAATCTCTATATTATCTTAAATAAACTTTAGAATTTTGAAGATATGATAAATATGCTATTTAAATTAAAAGATTACCAATACAGTTATGTTTGTATTTTTTTACTTATAACCTGAATTTTGATATTATTAGAGATCTGGTTACAAGATTGTAAACTTTTACTTGCTTTTTTTTTTCTCTCTAGGAAATTCTTCTCCTTGGTATTCGGAAAATTGTTGAAAGTGATTTTACTATGAGCCCTTCACAGTATCTAACCTTCCCTTTGCTACATACACCTAGTTTAAGCAATGGTGTCTCACCACAAAAGTCTCCTGGGATTCTTAACAGTAAAGCCTTAGGCTTATTGAGAAGAGCACGGCTTTCCCGAGGCAAGAAAGAGTCTGACAGAGAGAGTTTTCCCTCTCGGCTGCTGTCCTCTTGGCACATAGCCCCAATCCACCTACCATTGCTGGGGCAGAACTGCTGGCCACACCTTTCAGAAGGATTTAGTGTTTCTCTGTGGTTTAATGTAGAGTATGTCCATGAACTGGAGAGTGCTGCAGAAAGAGGAAAGAAGGTAAAGAAAAGAAACAAACCATCAGTTCTACAAGACAGCAGTTTTGAAGGATCAGGTATGATGGCAGGGGTCTGATCTGTACACTAAAACTCTTCAAATAGTCATTAGATATAGGGTTACCCTGTCTCTACAACTGCTGCTGAAGCTATCAGTCCCATTATTATAATAGTGTGGACCCTGAGATTCTAGAAAAGGAATAAATAAAGCCCTATAGCCACTTTTATTTCAAGTTCTTCTCATTCTGTGTCTTACCTCAGTGGCCCCTTCCTAGTTCCTATTCCTGAACATTTATATGCAATAGTTCTTCTCCAGATTTAGAACAGAATTCATCAATAATTGAAAAATTACTATTCGACTGTTTTGAAACTACATCTTGTTTTTGTTCTCTTCTTTCTTAGGCATGCAACAGTTTCTTAGGGTATACGGCAGGTAGAGAGAATAGTCTTAAAAATGAGTTGTGTTTTTTTTTTAATCTGTTGAAAATGATGGCTGATATTTATATAATCTAATGTTCCCTTTCTTTAAAATCTGAGCCTTTGGACATGCACTGTGTATTTTAGTACTTCTTAGCTTAGTTTAACATAAAGTCACATCATAGTAACAAATAGCTCATCATACATACTCAGGTAGTTCAAGATTTAAGTGGCATTGGGAAGAATAACCAGCTTGAACCCAAAGCCTACAAACATTTCCAAAATTTACAAACAAAAACTTTGGGTAAGTTAACCCAGAGTTCTCACGTTTCTAGGAGCTAAAAGTAAGCTGAATGTAACAGAAGACTTAGCTCTCCTGTATTAAATAGATAAGGTCTTATCTATGTGAGTTTGATTATAGAACTAATAAAACATTCTCTGAATAATGAGAAGATTTGGTTGTAATTCTTTTTTATATTTTAATCTCATATTTATTCTGAATGTATCAAAGCTAAAATCCTTAACTATACTTCATGTTATTGGTCACAGCTTGATTAGCTTGTCATTTCTGTTGTAGGAAGAAGCTAAGCTTCCCTGCCCATCTTTGTTTAGAATGGTGACTCTCTTTTTAACAATTAAAATTAGTTAAGCATCTTTTTATGTTGAAATACTTATTTACTAGTTGATAGCTTACATTTTAAAATTTGTTTTGTCACTAAAGGAAAATGTTTGTGTTTTAGGAAAGTCTTTCAGTTGTTTATACAGCTTACTGTCCTGCTCAGTACACCATCTATGAGCCCGTGATCCGACTCAAGGGTCAAGTGAAAACTCAGCTCTCCCAGAGACCCTTCAGCTCAAAGGAAGCCCAGAGCATCTTGCTAGAACCTTCTCAACTCAAAAGCCTGCAGCCTACGGAATGTAAAACCATCCAGGGCATTCTGCATGAGATTGGTGGGGCTGGTGTATTTGTTTTTCTCTTTGCTAGGGTAAGAATCTTAATTATAGCTTTCTCAGAAAGAAGCCCCTCTCTTTTATTGATAAATTGAAGGGCTTCTTGTAAAATATCAAAACAGCTGTACTCTACTATGTAAAACTTTAAGACAAAAAATTAATCACGTTACTGATGATAGCATGCTTTCTGCCAAGAATGAGTAATGATTAATTAATTCATAAAGATTTTAGAAGTTTTTTATTATCTACAATTATAGTTGGAACAAGTAAATGTTAAATATATGTGATTTAAAATTGTCTTTGAAAAAAACATATATGCTATTCTAATAATGTGAAAGGTTTTTTTTTGTAAAAATGATTTTTCACTATGTGTATTCACACATATGTGTAGATGCTGATAGAGGCCAGAGAAGAGCATTGGAGTCCCAGGAGCTGTAGGTACATGCAGTCGTGAGTCACCTGATATGGGTGCTAGGAACCAAACTCAGGTCCTCTGGAAAAGCAGGAAGGTCTTTGAACTGTTGAGCCATCTTTGCAGCCCCAAAACATGCTTTCTTCTTTTTCAAGATGAAAGAGAGAAAGAGAAAAACTTTGATTCCATTTTAGAATAAACCATTTATTTATCTTTTCTCTTTAGCTCCTTATAGGCAGGAAGAATATTTTTCCTGATAATGAACAGTTCATAATTTCACTCTTTCTATCTTTAGAATTGCTGGAAAGCACAATGTGGGCACAAATAACCTCATTTTTATAACATAATTTCTACTTCCTCACATTTGCGTTCCTGTTTAATTAAAGCAACTTTGATCTTCCTTTCTCTTTAGAATGTCGTTTTATCCCTAAGTGTAACTTCTAAAACATCATCAGATTTTCTCAGCATGTGCATATCTAGCTTGATTCCTTTAATAGAGCCACTTGATCTAAATTTTGCAGTACCATATATCAGCATTTGTTGTTGTTAGAGTTTGTTTGGTTTTTTAAATTTTGCTAGTCTTACCTACCTTAGTGTGTATCCTTGACTTGCCATGCTCACACTGCTTTTCTCCTATCTAGTTGAATAGATTTTCCATTAATATTTCAAAAGTAAAACTTTCATTTAACTCCTAATCAATATTTTGTGATCTCTTTTTACATTATAATTTCAAAATGTGTGTGTCCTTGGTTTTTCTTGTTTTATCCAGATGGTAAATATAATTGGATCCTAAAAAAGACTTAATTTATATTTACATACATTTATGATCTTGCTAGTAGACTTTTAGAGTTTTTCACATTTAAAATTTAGAAATTGTGTCCAGTATCCTTCTGCTTCCTATAAAGATAAAATGTATTTTCCCTGAAAGTCTTACATGCGCAGCCTTTCAGCCTAATTTCCTGCCTTACAGGAACATGTACCTTCATTATGCATTCCAGTGTAGGCCTGTGCCCTTCTAGATGTGCCCTGTGCTCATCCCCTCTTATCCCTGTTTTCTAGGCAGAGTCTGGCTTTCTCTTCAGGTTATTTCTCTTCAATAAAATTTAAGAAAATTTTATTTTTATCTTCATGAATGTTAGGCCTACATGTATATCTGTGCACCACATACATGCCTGGTGCTCTCAGAGGTCAGAAGAAGGCATCAGATTCCCTGGAACTAAAGTTACAAATGGTTGTGAGCCACCATATGGGTGCTAGAACAGAACCTGGGTCCTCTGCAAGAGCAACAAGTGCTCTTAACTCTGAGCCATCTCTCCAGACTCCTTGAATGGTTTTTAGAGTTCTATTCTGACTCACTGATGGTGCTTTAATTTTTCAATTTTACTGAAAGAAATTATATTTTATATATAAAGTATGCAACTTGATGGTTTGGTATATATGCCAAATGGTAACTTATCGAATGATAATGTTAGGGAATACTCATCAGTCCTGATATAATTGTGTATGTGTGGCCTCAAACTTGTGATCTTACAGCCTCAGTCTTCACAAGTATGCACCATTGAACACAGCTATAATACTTTTGTTGCTACTACATCTTAGGTTCAAACAGTTCTCCCACCTCAGTGCTGGGATCGCCACAGGCACAAACCACTGTGTCTGGCTGTCTCCTAAAAACATTGTAAAAATACAGAAATGCAAGGTAAATTGGAGGTAGATAGGGGCTGAGGAGGAAGAAAGTGAGTTTGACCATAAAAAGGCAACATGGCAATTCTTTCTGGGGATGAAAATGTCCTCCTTGACTATATCCATGTCTCCTTACTGAGAGTGCCACTGTATTTTAATTTTGCAAGATTCCATGGGGAAAAACTGTAGGATCTCTTTATTATTTCTAATAATAGCCCATGAATATATTACTTTGTCAAAAGAAAAGCTGAAAAAAATATTGTTTTGAAATCAATGGCTAACACAGACTAGTACTTAACACATTAAGAAGTAGGGTATTAGTCTCTGACATAAGGCTCCAGAAGAGAAAAAATAACGTCTTAAAAAAAGCAAACCTAATCACCTCCATCTGACATATTTAAACCTGTAAATCTGCATTGAAAGGGAGAAAACTGAGTTCTGACCTTGGTAAATGATCCTGTTCACAGCCAAGATGATGAGTCTCTGCAGTCTCTGGGCGAGCTCTGCCTCCGAGGCCTGGCTGGGGTGCTCCTGGCTCATCCTCCTCTGCATCATAGTGTGTAGCTCATCACTGGCCACCGAGCGCATCTTCATTAGGAGAGACTCTGTCTGAGCCAGGGGGAATTTTCGAGGACCTTCAAGTACATAAATTATCCAATGCCACAGTAAATGATGGCCAATGAACTTATTTTTAACTATAATTTTTTGATTACTTGTCATGAAAAGAAAAACTTTTTATTACAAAATTAATTTATATTAAGGAAAAAGAGTAAGAGAAGTTAGCACTTTTCCTTCTCCAAAGAAGTGCAACAGTACTACTGATTTAAAGTCCAAAATAACAGCATTGAAGCCAGTGACACAGGAGGATGCTAATCATTTGTCCAAGTCTGAGTCTTCTGAAAAACTCAGAGTATCAGATGGGCTGTGTGGCTTTGACACCTGATCGACTATTTGCACTGTTTCACTTCCTTGTATTCCAAAATCATCAACAGTTTTAAAGAATAAGACATTTAGGTTAAAAAAGAAGAAGAAGGAGGAGAAGAGAGAGGAAGAAAAGGAGGAGAAAGAGGATGAGGAGATGATCATGACCATAATAATTTAGTAATAATGTTACTATGCCCTGGTAATCCCTGTTGAATCTTATAGTTTGGAAAATTACACATAATGACAAATAAGAAATCAGTCAGCAAGAGTGAAGAAATCACAAAGTAGATACAAGCCCAGCAATTTGTCAGTACAATGATTGGGGTAAACGCATCATTTGGGAAGCATTTCCTGAGAAGAAACACCTCCCCAGACTGAACAAGGCAAAGTGCTGTTTGTTCCTGCGCTTACTGCACCTGCTCTGGGAAGCGCTGCACACATGGTGCATCCAGGAGAGAGCGGGGAGGATTCTTGATTTAATGGACTGAAGAAGGGCATCGGAAGCTGGCCATAGGAACCAAAATGACGTCTTGGTATATGAGGAGTAACAGAACCCTTCACTGGAATTGAACCTTTGTTTTAAATTATGAAAACAAATATCAATTTCCATCAACAACTTGTTTTTACAAATTACTTGCATCTAACTAAACTATTACAGGTTTTAATGACTCACCCTACATGATATTTAAATTTTTAATAGTTTTTTTAGATTGTCTGCTAGTATTTTTAATCAGTTAATAATTTTGGTGGGTAGAGTCACCTTTCAGGCAAAAAAAAAAGAAAAAAGAAAATTATCCTTGGAGATATTAAAAATATTATTGTTGGACAATATTTCTAATCTTCAAGGTCAATTCATCCTCACATTATCCACAGATTCTTTATGTAGAATCCAATGACAAACATACCCCGGGCAAGACAAGGCAGTAAGACACTGAGTAAGAGTCTCACACGGTCTTTATTTGTGAGTGCAGACGTGTACTTCAGCACTCATGCTTTAGAGCCACATGGCCAGGGGAAGTCTTTAGCACTCCTTTCTCTAAGCCCCAGTTTCCTTGTTAGAAGATATATATTAAAAAAAAATAAAGCAGAGCTATGTCACAGGAAGATATTTATCACTATCTGACACTATAGTCATACATTTGCTTATATGCTCATCCATCATTCCCTCCAGTTCTATGTACGTGGCTGGTGCACATTAATTATTTAATGGTTGAATGAATGAAGAGCATTTTTATCAAGAACATTAATTAAATAATGGATATAAATGCAATATTTATCTCATCCCTCAAAAGAATAAAGCATATTTCATGTTGATATTATTTTTATTGGTTAAAATACAAAGGAAATTCATTTGTGTGCTAATTATACTAATCTATTATCTATCTGTATGAATGATACTTTACATGGATATATATCATCTCGAATAATACTCTACTACTTCCTCTATTTTTAAGTATTGAAGATAATATTTAAAGTTTTTTAGTTGAAAAAACTGTATATTATGATCTTGTTTATAATGGCAAAAGCTCAAAGTAAAAAAGCTAGGGAAGATCACAACACACAATACAGGAACTACCAAACATCCATTAAAGGACATTTGTGCTCTTTAATGTGAAAGGATGTCTATACTGATCAGAAATAGAAGTTATTTTATAAACAGTTGGTAGAGAATGATACCATTTAGGCAAAAATATCCTCCCATCTCTTCCCCACCACCGCCACCTTCTCTCTCTCTCTCTCTGTGTGTGCGCATGTGTGAAAAGTCTGAATCTGGCCCCATTCACTGGGCTGACAGGAACTCAGGACTGCCCAACAGAATGATCCACATGTGAGGCTGAACGAAGACTGATCTGGAACATAACAATGTCTACCTCCTCTGTGAATTTAAGAATATAAAACCTACATGTGATACTGCTAGAGAAACAAGATTCCATGCCATGGAATATAGGAAGTGACCACTACAGTTAGAAATGGAAAAGGACACAATTTTTACCT